TTTTTTTTTTTTTTTTTTTTTTTTTTTTTTTTTTTTTAAATTCACAAACTGAAAAGCACCCATAATGGAAGAATGTTTCTGGATATGTTAAAAAGCATACAACCATTGTACAAGAATTAACTCCTCAAGCTTGTATCCTGAGTACATACAACCTTGGGAGATGCACTGCCAGTGGTGGCTGGAGTGTCTCTTTGCTGACTTCAAGGTTACAGAAAAGTCACCATTGCTCTACCATCTCTAAGTGGGAAATCATGATAACTAAAGCATTATACCTCCAAAGGTTGTGGTTTTCACTACCATAGTTGTTTCTTCATAGGGGCAATAAAGAATGTTCTGTGACCTTCAAAATGGTGGTGCCTGGTACATCATATGGTCTGGAAACAAGTGATATATTCTGCTCCTTGAAGGTTCAGACTATTTGTAATGCATCCCAAATGTGTCATAAAATTCAGTTTAGTAATTTATAAAATATAATAGTGAGAAATATATGGTACAGGGCCATTTAAATACCGCTGCATTGTACAAGTAGCATGGGTTCAAATGCCAGCTTGAGGGGTTAAACCTTGGCTCTATAGAAGAGTATGTGGAGTCTTCAAGGAGCGGAAGGACCGTTGGAATCACTGCGTACAACCAGGGGAAGAGCAGTAACAGAGTCATTTAGTCAGACCTCATATTAAGAGTATATATCTTACATTGTTTTCACTAAAAATATATACGTGTAATCTAATATAATTTAATGTAATTTAATTTAAAAGTTTCAGATATGTGTTGCTATGTGTTCCGCATCGGCTCAGCCCCATTTGTTCGACGCAGCTTGGTGACATCATCATCCGTACTCAAGATAGTAACAAATACTCCTGGGGGTGATTCAGGCAGTGCTGTCAAGGCTGAAGGAGGCGGGAAGAGGGGAACATCTGGCAAAGGAGCAGGCAAAGATGGTGGAAACCATCTGATATGCCCTAAATGCGGAGACCCCTGCACACACGTGGAGACATTTATGCGTAAGTAGAAAGAACCGAGGTCAGAGCAATGGACTCCTAGAATCATTCAGTTGCATTGCACATAAATTTTGTAGGAAGTTAATTTGTGTGAACTTTGACAGATCAGTCCGTATAGTGACTAGCTGTGAACAGGATGATCGGCCTTCAATTCCCGTCAGGAACAGGGATTTTTCTTTCCTACCACTATGAGATCACGCTTTAGGCCCACCCAGCTTTCTGTCAGTTGGTTACCAAGAGCAAGAGCATGATCTGTCCCAGTGATCTCTCCCTAAAGCAGAGGTTAAGATTGTATTGCACTGTATCAGCACTCTCTGTGCGTATTCGTGACATGTACTGAGTTGGTCACTGGAGCAACTTTCTCTGGTATGGAATTAATTTGTTATGTAAAGATAATGTCACTCTTGTCCCCAAGTGCTACAGGATGGCTGTGTCGAGGGAGTGTAGAGAGAAAGCATTATGGACCTTCTAGGCATTCATGATATTATTAAGTGTTCAGCTTAACACTCGGGCTGTTTTACCTTCAATTTCTATTGAATGGACAGCTGAATAGAATGCAGAGCCAATCCGAATGTGATGATGTAGAGATAAATTCCTGCAATTGCTTTCTGTCCGTCATGTAGCAGTCCACTGACTGGACTGTCCCAATTTTATATTTTGTAAAATAAGGTACAGGTGGGATACATGTATGGTGCACACAAAATGTACTACAGATTTATGAGAGAGTAAGTATTCTGTTACTGCAGCCTGTATCAGAGATATTATTCACTGATGAATTTGTGTGATTCAAGTTAAAGTCGGCAGATAATGTAAAATGGTTTTATGTGTTTATAGCTTCAACAAGATTTGTAAAATGTGAAAAGTGCCATCACTTCTTTGTCGTCCTGTCAGATGTGGACACCAAAAGGAGTTTAAAGGAAGGTCGTGATGACCAGAAGAGTGGATTTTTTAGAAAACCGCCACCACCTCCTAAAAAGGTATATATCATAGATTTAATGAATTGCTATTGTGAAATATATTTTTATCATTGGTACATTGATTCTAAGATTGAGGTTTCTTAACTTGGTTACAATTCAACCATTCACATTGCAGCATCTGAACTGAAATGAACTGTGGTTTTAGTTTGTTTTTCCCCCCTTTGTTGGTAGTTGCACAGTTTATGCAGTATGGCCTAGTATGTCCAAAAAATCCCAGGAGCTCTTTAAGTTCACATGTATAGGATACACATTCTGCACTAGATGTCAGAGTTTGTAACTTTGTGTTCTTTTGTGAGGAAAAAATGTATCTGAAAAACATTTTATCATTAAACATCTTTTATGTTCATATGGGCAAGACAGTGGGGCACGCGGTAGCGTAGTTGGTTGAGGCACTATGCTACAGGCCTGGAGGTCACAGGTTCACTGAAACTGCGTGATTTGTTGAAGGTTGGCTTTTCTTAGATTCTCCCTTATTCATTAAATAAGTTACATGGACCTGGAAATGTTAATGTTTGCAGATCTTTGAGTACCTGAACAAGCATGTTGTAGGACAAGAACATGCCAAAAAAGTTTTATCTGTGGCAGTGTACAACCACTACAAGAGAATATACAACAATATACCACCACAGCAGCAGAGTAATAACAATCATAGGCAAGACATGGCAGTCATGGAGCAAGGACCCCAACAGTCATTCACTCACAGAGGTAAGGAGTGGCCTGCCCACAACTATTTATATACATCATAATAATTTCCTTTAAAACATCTGTTAACAGATTATAATTTTACAATTTCATGAACATTTCTGCATTATTTTCAGAAAAGATTTCTGGGAGTTACTTCACTTAGGTATTTTTTTTTTTTAAGTTTAATCTTAGTGTGGAATGAGTATGAGTCCCTTGGTATTTAGGCCATAAAATGCCCATTGTACCAGTTCCAGATGATGAAGAAGAAAATAGAACATTCAGTGGATTGATAATTGTCAGGGGAAACTAAAGTACTCAGAGAAAACTTTCCCCAGTACAACTTTGTCTGCCACAAATCCCACTGACCTGGCATTGAAACTGGGCTGTCAGAATGAGAAGCTGATGACCTAAGTGCCTGAGCTGTGATGTGGCCCATACCACTCTGTAGGTTCAGGTCACATGACATGATAACTACCACACTCTTTTTCATGTTTTATCATTATGAAAATAATTATTTTCACTGTATGCTCATTTTTGGCATGATATGTGATTCAAATAAAACTCCGTGGAGGAAGTTCCACTTTGAGAACCTGATAATCTGTCAGCTAGTGCAGAAACTATGTTTCTTTTGTGAATCTGGAAGGTTTATTACTGTATTCGCCAGGTTTTGCCATTGGTCCCTGGCTGAGCCAGATAAATTCATTCCTTTTCCTCAAAACCTAACCATTCACTACATACAGGGTGTTTCACGACTTTAGGGCATAACTGCAGGAGGTGATTTCCTAGGTCTTTGTGATCAAAAAAGTTCATATAAACATGTGTCCAATTTTGGACGGTTACGGAGNGCCTTAGGTACATCTCAAGTGTCAAGATAATGAGAACGCTCTGTCTGTAGCTGGCTAAAAATAGTGACGCAGTTCACATGAGGGCGTGTATGGGAATGAAAAAACGGTCATAACTCCATAACCGTCCAAAATCGGACACATGTTTATATGAACGTTTTTGATCAGAAAGACCTAGGAAATCACCTCCTGCAGTTATGCCCTAAAGTCATGAAACACCCAGTATATAGCATATGATTTCTGATTATCATCATAAATGTGTGTCATATGTTCTGTTAAACCATCTCATTCAACTATTATATATGTTAGCTCAAGTGGTAATATTTCTGTCTTGTATTCAGAAGGCAATGCTTTATATCTCTGCCACTGGCAGTCCCCATTGAGGCATATTTGTGGGTTCCCCAGTCCCTCCAGTACCATGAATTAGTTCTTTCCGATTCATTATTCACAAACTATCGCACTATTTGACGTGATGTATTCTGAGGTACTGCCATTCTCGTTAAAGTGACACATAAATAAATAAAACGAAATACAGTTTCTTTATTAAACAGGAACCTATTTTAAATGGAAATATATTTAGATCCCTTGGTGTTCTGTTACATGCAGGCAGTTTACCTGTACCTAGTTCTGTTTACTTTTGTTTCCCAGTGACTTCAACATTATTGCTTTTGCAGACCTGCTGCACATAACAGGGATTGGGCATGGTGCTTCCGGCCTTGGTGTGGGGTTTCAGCACACGCCACCGCCTGAACCAGAGCCTCGGCGGCCAGCGGCAGCAAGCACAATGGGGAGTGACATTCTGGATTCGAACAGCCATGAATTGAAGCTTGAGAAGAGCAACATTCTCCTGTTGGGTCCCACGGGTTCAGGTTTGCAGTCACAATGACAAATTTTGATTTGTTGTTTTCAGTAATAATACTCTGTATTACATACAGTTAAACATCTATTTTAGGTTGGGTGGGGTGGATCGTGGATTTGAACCCCAAACCGATAATCCTTTGAAATCTAACAAGACGTTGAGATTTGGAATACAATACACTCAGGAACACTCACTTGATACACATATACATATTACAGTTTTCACTGCGTCTTATTGGTCAAGTCACCACTAGTCCATGCTTTCATGTAAATGCAGTGACATATTTTGGCCACATAGGGCCATCATCAGACATATATGGTGATTTACATAAATTGTTATACTGCATTGTAGTATTGTACAACCCCCATGGACAATGTGATACTACAATACAGTAGTGTGAAGAAAACTTGGTGAGTTTACGGTTCTTTTTATATATCAATCATATTTGTACATGTAATGCTTTGGAAAATATAGCATTTAAAAATGAATGAATCATTCATAGTAGCCCTATATAACAATTTATGCAAATAATCGTGTATACATGATGATGACCTTGTGAGGCTGTAACAGACTGTCACATATTTAGGGGTGTGTGACTATAAATGAGATACGTGGTGAATTTGATTTATTGACCACTTGTATATGTCACTCAGAATTACATTACAGTTCACTGACACACACGAACTAGTGTCTTCAGTGTATTGCAGTCTCTACTAGCCATTTCCTGGCAACAGATTTAATGCAGTGGAGATTATGCAGGTTCTGTGGTCATGCCGTTTCTCACTGGTTAACACTCCACACCTGAACTCGTAGCGCCATCTTCTCAGCCTCCCCTTGCAGAGATCAAATCTTGATTAACTGCTCAATTGGAGCTCCAGAACTCAACTGCCGATTCTCAGCTGTACTCTTCTTTATAACCACTTTGCACGGAGCAATTAGAAAACGCCGTTTCCAACAATACCCCTATTGTTGTAGGCGTATTTACGAATGTGTTGCATAACCCAACTCTTCTTGTTTGCGGAGCAACAGCCACTGTTCACTGCTTAGCAACAGATCTATACACCATGATATTGTGACACATGTGGTCATTGCGAGGCAACGTCTGTGTAAACGTGTTCCCAAGGTTACACTGTCAACAATGGAACGACATCCATTTCTAGGTAGCAGGGTATAGGCACACAGTGATAGAGGAACTGTTAGAGGTGGTGACTTATATTCAGTCCTTCCCGAAGTTATAAAAAGGAGGACATGTAAGAACGCATTTATTCATAGGTGAGTTGTTCTGCAATTGTAATTCATTAGTAAACCAAAAGTTAGTGACTCGTAAATCAGAATCCAAGTCAGTCACTGTAGAAGAGAAGGCAGTTACAGTCCAGCAGAATGGAGCAAGTCTTAAGCAGTTGTTGATTGTGATCTATTGTGATCGATTGTGTAGAGGGCATCAATAAACCCAGTCATCCAATGCAGAACCTGTTGTCATTAGTCATGGAACCCTGGACATGTGACATTAAATTTGCATGAAAGTGTGGACTAGGTGAAGATTCCACCACTAATCTGTGAAGCTGCATAGAAGAGGCTATCATGTTTATATATATATATATATCAGGTGATCAACAAATGCTGCAGGGTTCTCAAATGCAATATTACTCAAGGTTTTATGGAATATTATGAATGCGGCACTACAGAAGAATTAAAAGGTTTGGTTCTTGCAGGATTGAGGACTGAGGGAGAAAGTTCAATATGAGACAGAACCCAAGTTTAAAAAATTCTGATAAATTTGTTGTAACCAGAAATTGTTTTAAAAAGCACTGTAATTTTCATATAGATAAATACCTAATTATAATCAAAATAATGAGAGAACTATAACAACAGTATTACATAAAATATTAAGTGTGGCAGCATTTGCTATAATCTGAGGGCAGTAAATTATTGCATGAATTGTCTGCATATGATATTTTGAGGGGAAATGTTGGCAAGGATCAGTGAGCAAAAAGAATGCAATATAGAAATGTATTTAGTAGGTGAATAGATTTATTGTAAAATTATATATATATATTCTGCAATACACTGAAATTGTTAATTCAAAATATTAATTTCACAGGGAAAACACTGCTAGCACAGACAATAGCCCAATGTTTGGATGTGCCATTTGCAATTTGTGACTGTACAACATTAACTCAAGCGGGCTATGTGGGTGAAGACATAGAGAGTGTTATTGCAAAGCTTCTGCAAGATGCTAATTACAGTGTTGACAGAGCACAGATGGGTATGTTTAATTTGTCTTGTTCATTGATTTATATGTTGTTTTCTTGATTATATAAGGAATAGACTTAAGTGCTCTCTAAAGCAAGTGTGTTTGAAATGAATTCATGATCTAGTAGTTGTATCTGCGTGTGCGTGCGTGCGTGTCTTTTTCTAAAACAACTCTTGTTACTCTTGTAACATCATTTCTGTTTTGTATATTTCATGAACAAAAATTATGCAGTTTCTTCTTTCTTTCCACTCTTTCCTTTTTTTATCCTGTGTGAAATCGTTCCTCTGAGTTATCCTTTCCAGGACAGCTTATTCGGTATAGCTGCTGGCTACTAGCTGGATGGCCGGCTTTCAATTCCCATCAGGAGCAATAGATTTTTCTCTTCTCCACAACATCCATACCAGCTCTAGGGCGCACCCAGCTTCCTATTCAGTGGGTACCTAGAACTCTTTCCCAAGGAATAAAGCAGCTGGTCTGTGAAGCTGACCACTCATCTCCATCTGGTGCTGAGGTCAAGAATGGTGGAGCTATTTCTTCACCCCCCTGTATGTCAGTTCATGGCATTATGCTTAATTAATTAAGCATAGGGACAACCTTACCTTTACTTTATAGTTTGAAACACATCTAGTCCTTGAAATGTTGGGTAAGCAATGACACTGAATGTGTCTCTCCATATCCCCATTTTCAAAGGAGTGAAATTCTTTGCCACATGTGAAGTATGTGTCATGTATATTTTGATGGCAGGGATTGTGTTCCTGGATGAGGTGGACAAGATTGGTGCTGTGCCAGGGATCCATCAGCTCAGAGATGTTGGTGGTGAAGGTGTACAACAAGGAATGCTCAAGGTATTTAACAGGGCCAGAACCCAGTCATGCATCATTGTCAGTACTCTTAATATATGTTGATGGACAGGAAATACCTGATCTGTTTCAAATTTATGTAAAATTCTAATAAACTGTTAATATTAGCATTACTCAGAATTACTGGGTTTCCGGGTTTTGTTGACGATGGACAAAGTAATGCTGAGTGCTGTTGACTATCATCGGAAACATCACTGTTTCATATTGCAAAGAAGACTTGTAAGATGAGTGAGTAGATGAATGTCAAGAGAGGATGGATAATGGGGTACCTTGATAGCTCAAGTGCTATAGTGACTAGGCTACAGGCTGGATAACCAATGAACTGAAGTACAGTTTCCAGCAGGGGTGGAGATTTTTCCATCAAAGATTGGGAATGCATGGAGCTATACCTCTAGTCCCACATGCATCATTATGGCATGGCACTTAATTATGCACAGGGAAAACTTGACCTTTACCAATGATCCTGGAACTACTTACAGTCTGCTTAAGTCATACTGTTTCAAAGGTATGTCAAAAGAATTTACTCTGATACTTGAGGTTCTGGGTTTTTGGCACCAATAGCTGGATTACAAGGTGTGGCAATAAAGAAACCGGATTCATGCTCTAACCCTTTATTAAAAAAAAATCAGACAGTCGAAATGTTATCCCCTTCAATGTAGTCCCCTCCCCGATCCCTACACCGCTCCATGCGAATTTTCCACTGTTGGAAGCAGTGCTGCAGGTCATCTTGTGTTATGCTCTTCAAGAGTTGCGTCGCTTTTGCTTTCACTGCATCCACGGACTCGAACCTGGTCCCTTTCAGCGCAGACTTGATTTTTGGGAAGAGAAAAAAGTCGCACGGTGCTAGGTCCGGAGAATACGGTGGATGTTCCATCACTGGAATGT